TTAAAAAAAAAACCTCCAAAACACGTTTCTTCAGCTATCTTGTATGCTTAGTTGAAATGAGTCAGGAAGATTATTTAAGAAGCAATCTTTGGTGCTACAAGTGATGGTTCTACCATATTTGTAACAAGGAGTTGAATTTGCAGCTTTAGCTAAATTGAGTACACAAGACCATATAATGATCATTGCTCCGCTGCAGAATTTCAATGCCATTAAGATCAATTACATGTGATAATATTACATCTAAAGTATGATTACAACAGTGAGTGGGTTGTGTCACATATTGCCCAAAAGAGAATGTCTATAAATGCCAATCCCAGTGTGTCTTTTCCATTATCTATACATGGATATTAAAATCACCAACTATTAAGACTTTATCTGCAGCCAGCACTAACTCAGAAAATCAGCAAATTCTTTGATAAAGTCTATGTGGTGCCCTAATTGCCTGAGTAGCTTACACTAGAAAAACTTAATATAAAGCACCTACACTTCAAAAGAATTATACTTAATACAAGGTAATATACTTATTACCTCAAACTAATACTGAAAATATTACTGTAAATTGTAGCAACACCACCCCCTTTACCTTTTGGACATGGCTCATGTCTTTTCACATTGCTCTGAAAAGGACTGAAAAAAATTGTCTGTGAGGATCAGCCTAAAACAAAAAGAGGAAAACACTAACACAAACATCAACCCAGACTCATTGGAAATACATGGCTTGGTCTGCATTTCTGAAAAACTGCAAAAAATGTATACACACATTTCACTGCAGGTGAAATGAACACCTGCAAACTGCAGTAAGACTGATTATTCATTGAAAATCTGCCCCTGTAATCATAATCTGTGTGAATAAAGTTGTCAGTGTTATTCTTTCAGGATAAGTGCAGTGAAATGAGGCAGTAAAACACCAACAACTTTTGTTCACACAAATTCGGATTACAGAACATTAACTTTTTAGTGTCACTCAATTCATTTCTGAACTGCCATGATACATACAAAAAAACAGCCTTATACAACATTGTCACAGTAACTGTTTTGGAGAAAATTAAACATGCTATTTAACGGTAGTAGTGTTGTTTTTGGCGGCCTGTTTTAATTTTAGATTTAGTCTAGTCTTTGTGTGAAGCTGTCATTTTAGTTTTTATTAGTTTTAGTCACGTTCATACTCTTTTTAGTCTAGTCAAGTTT